TAGTAGATATAATAAATTAAACTGGAAAAAATCTGCTGAGATAAAACAGCTGTAGACTAGTAGGTGTGACAACTCCCACTGGATTTAAATCTAGAATCACAGGATTTAACTTTGAAGAATTAATAATGGGGTTTAAGATCCTTGAAATGATTATTTTTTTTTTAAATAAAAAACAGAAGGCTTTTATAAAAGGCTAATCTTATCTTATTAGCAGGTTCAGATAGGAAAAGTGCTAGTAGGATCATTTATCCCTAGCCCTATACAGAGCCAAAATTTAGTGTTTTTAAGTAAAAAAGCATGATATAAAATTTATATATGTTAAAATGCCTTTTGATAAATGATGAAAAATTTGTTATTTGTTTTATTGATTTCATTCATGTATCTTTTATGTGTTTTCAAGAAAGAATTTGGATTCATCTCACCAATTTTAAGTACCAGTTGTTATTCTACAACATTAACTTTAATCTTGAAAAAAATATAAAAGTTTAATTTTGTTTTATATTCTCTTCCTGTTCAATATAGCTCTGAGATAATTAAAATAATTTCATTATTATATGTCTATTATTCAAAATTTAGATAAGATAAATGTGGCTTTTGATTACATTTTCAGTAATTATAGCATTTGATAATGATATGATAACAATATCTCCTGGTAACATTTTGCTACTCCACATTTTTCTTTAATAATTTTATTCGATCAGGTCAATTAATTCATAAATTTTAAATATGTATTTAAACAATATGCAAATTTACTAGATATATTATAAAAAACATCATAAAATAGACAATTTCAACCAGAAAAAAAATTCAAGAACCAAGTTAATGGACAGGATGCCAAAGAATTTATAAACTCAGTACGTCTAGTAGAAGAGGGACTTTGAGAAGAAAAATTAAAAAGGCAAGAGAAGAGTTCAATTTATATCAAGGAATAGAAGTAGAAAGAATTAGCCTAAGTTAAATAATTTTGTGAAGATAAATTTTTTGAAGTTTTCTATTTTTTTAAACTTTTTGTTTAGAGCTTTTGTTCAAATTCCAACTAAAATTAGCATAAAGGTATACTGTACAACATTGAATCTTCAAAAATATTTTATTCTCAGAAAGTTTTCAAGATAACAATCAAACAGATGCAGACATCTGATAGACAATGTGCTAGCACAAGTTATATTTTTAATTGCTAGAAATATCCTTCTTATAAAATTACTACGCATGCTTTAAAATATCCTACAAGAAGTTTTATATTACTGGTTTTACAAAAAAAAAAAAATTTTTTTTTCTATACAAAAATATATAAAGTATCATAAGTTCAAATAGAAGTTATCAGTTAAGTCTGCTGAAAGTTTTATGACTTATCTTAATCTTAATATATTTATATATAATTTTAATTTGAAAGTATAAATATTCCTTAAAAATTATATGATGATGATAATATTTAATATATATATAGGTTAGAAATAATATTAAAATATTATAATTTTGCAATAATTAAATAATTTTAAAATCAATGTACAGTATGAATATGTATTTGTTTGAAATGTTAACAAATTACAGGTTAATTATAAAAAGTTTTTCTATTATATGATAATGGGGGCATGTTGCTGTTTATCGCTCTGATACTACAGACTGCAGACGCTATTGTAATTTGTAATTAGTCATTCGCGGTTGATGGATGAATAGGTTAAAATCGATTCATCCTTTTAGTATTTTTATTATTTTTTTTTCTATCCAAATCTAAGAACTTTGTAGAAGGATCTTCCCTTGTCAGCAATGTTCTAGATTTCTTGCCAGATATTTCTAACTAGAATAATTTTCTATTAAACTTCATCGCTTTCGAGAACAGATATTTTATTTAGATACACAGTACTATTTTCGTCAGAAGTTTAACTATAATGTTGGCAATTTATTTTTCAGTTTAAATAAATATAACACTATTTTTATAATTAATAATGGATTAAAACCTCGTAGATAAAGACAATTAAATTTTGTTTTGACTGAGATTATCAGATTTAACAATAAACATTTTAAATAAAATGCTATTCTTATTCTTATTGAAAAACATGATTTGAATCAAAGAAGTTATTAATGTTATCAACATCTTTGAAGATATATAATTTCTGTTAAATTCAAATGATTAGTTATTGAGTTTTATTTGAAAAATTCTGCTATAAAAGCTCTTAATGGGTGAAAAATGATATTTATAACCGGTTATATATCAATTAATAGGGTAATTAATACTTTTTACCCTACAAAAATCAAACTGTTTCATGTTGTTTTTGATCTCATCCTGTCTTAGATTAACTTTCATACAGATTTATTTATTTTTATCTCACTGATAGGAAACTAGACATGACAGATATTATACTTTTTTTCTTACTTTTTAAAATAATTCTGACCAATAAAATAAAAATTGATATTATATTTCGCCGTGTGAATAGACATTGTAAATTTAAGAGTTCAATTTTTTTCTTCAGTCTTCTTAGAAAGGGTCGTAGGCAAGGGATGTGGGTTGTGGTCAAGCTGGTTTTACCAATTCTAAGAAACCATAGGCCCCTTCTATACTTAACGTTTCTAAATTTATATTCTTAACAATCATTCTATAATATTGTAAGAAAGTTAGACGATTAAATGTTAAGATAAAGAGACTTTTCGTCGCTTCTTTTTTCTTCTCAAAACATATTTTTGGACGGGACGGCGTTGCATCTCTCTATAGTTCAATGGCGCATTGTTCGACATACACTAAACAAATTCGATTTATTTTGTTAGAAAACTCGAAACAGCGATAAAGGTCAAAATAATAAACCTTCTTTGGTATCAATGTCAATGTCTAGTTCATCCATGCGAATCTGGGAAACTAAATAACAAAGAGACTGCGTGCAGGTGTTTCTAGGGATGGAAGGAAGCATCACGTGTTTTGTTTTATTCGTAGGCGGGACAATGCGATTCTATACACGGTAAACAATGGATTTACAACAGTTATATTTGGATTTAAAAGCGTTTAACGTTTATCGCACTAAAATTTAATTGCAGAATTAATTGATCCCGATTAAAGGACGTGGAGATAAGCCACATCATGAATTATCGTGCGTATCGTTTCAACATGGCAAGGCCAAAGACAAGTCGACCTTTTTAAAAATCAGGTCGTTGCACTCCCCGATTGGAACTTAGTCGATTTAACTAAATACTCCAACGCGATCTTTTTAATACGTTGTTCATTCTGCGTACCAATCAAAGTGTCACTCTATTCATTCCGAAACGTAACTAACGATGCTCGACATGGTTATATGGCTTTGACGTAGGGCATAGCTCTATAATTAGCGTACCATTGCAGGCTGATGGATGCAGTGTCTTGTGTCAGAATGCACAGAGACAGACGTACAGTAAATTGTATGTCTCGATGTGTCAGCATTGTAAGTTATTTTTAAGTCGTACTCTACCCTTAAAACAGATTCTGTCCGGTTTTTGCGACTGTTAAAATCGATTTTTTAAACACGTCTCCAGACTTTCGAGAGAATATTTATTATTTACGTAACCTAAATAAAAATTTTTGACACGCTCCACAGTCTCCCGACTCCGAGAAACAAAGTTATGCAATTGTTTATATGAAAAATAGCGCTAAAACTTTTGCTTCCCGTTAAGACTTCCGCCCTTTTGACAGATCAGGTTTGCTAAGAAAAAACACATGCCCCTACAAAAGGGAAGATGCAAGCCATTCAACATAGGAAGCTAACCCATGCATAAAATAAATAAGCGTAATTATATGATAAGACTATAGGAAAAGGCATATTATGCATAACTATCCTTGGACAGTTGCGCAAGGTCAAAATCACTTCCTACACCTGGTGCCAACTGTGACTAATTAACCGAAAATCGCTAGTTCTTTGTATTAACTCGGTACAGATGAGTCATTACATGAGAAATCAGCCTTGTCGCAATCACGGGCACAAAGTGTGTAAGCTGAAAATGGCTCCCTTTCGAATAATTTCCTGTTTTAAACTGCAGAATGGCTTCCTAGATAGAGGGGCGAGTCTTCACACCTGGCCGAGAACCGCATTTATGGGTGAAGGAGCCTCTCGAGGAGGGTGACGTAGATCAGGTTTTGGACGTCTCTCGTTAAATGACGACCTTTACGACATTTCTACATAATCGTTATGTGTTGTTTCCTTAAATTTCTTTTTATCCGTTGACAAAAAAGCCGATAGTAACACCCGATCTTTTGTTTTAGTCGAGAAGTCAAGCCAAGTTGGCACGGTCGAAGTTTTCGGTTTAGCGATAAAACTATTGCCAAATCCAGAAGAAAAAACAATATAAAAACCCGTATAAATTCGTAATATATATATAAGTATTAAAAAAACCAACGCGCAACACATACGTATTAATAATCATTAACGCAACTTTAACAACAACAGCATAAATAACGCTACCGTAAAATGTATATTTTTGTATTTTGATACCGAACTGACGCAATTTGACGTCAGAATTGTGGGTTACGAACCCCTCGCAGAATCTTCCTCACGTGATGCCAAAATAACATATTTTAAGGTGGCATAACTCTACCGATTCTTCTTCCAATGTGTGATGGATTATACAACCCAGTTTATGTTGTTTTGGGAACACTTTCCCGTGACGTTTAAAAATAACTCTCGATTTTCAGTTGTGAAAAACACTGGAACTGGGCTAAAGCTCTCCGAACTACGGACAGAAATCACTTTTTTTCTATTGATACGGATCCAAATTTTTTATTTTCTAAAGTAAAACAACACTAAACGATTTCGTAGGAAGATAAAATCCTGTCGTAATACTTGATAATTATAGTTTTTAATCAGTTAGATCGCTTCTGATCCGAGTCGAAACGATGTCGTCGTTATAACACGATACAGTAATAACAGTGTCACACCTGTTGTGCGTTTGCTACAACACCGTAACCGATACACCTCCGGTAGTAGTGTTTATTCACTTAATTCATTCTGTTAAACGATAGCTTAATAAAAAAATAATGTCCTTACCTCCTGCTCCGTCTCCTTATTAATTGCCAATTGAACTTTTCCATAAGTGCCCTGTCCTAGTTTCTTCACGACTTCAAATCTTTGTTTTAATCGGTGTTTCTTCTCGTGCTTAGAAGGTGCACGATTACCTTCTACCGGTGTCAAGTTCTCTTGTACGACCATTTTTTTTTTTTCGTTTTTACTCTTTCTCTAACCGAAACTACTTTTAAGTGTGAGCTTTCATAACGTAATACCGATTATACAACTCGTCCGACTGATGCAGGTGACGGTCATCGCACATACACTACTGCTATTCAATGAACATGCGACGGTAGTGACGGGACACTCCCTAGGGTCGAGGGATGAAGGTAGAACGTCGTTCTGATTGGTCGGCCGTAACTAGACGTCACATAGATGCTTCCCAGATTAGAAACGAACATCACTTTTGTCAGCATCGTCTTACTCGCGACTCAACCATCCGAGTGTGTTGGAAGAACACTTACAATATGTCAGTCATTGTAGTGTGCGTGTAACAAATTATACGTTTCTACATTTAACCGACGACGTGTCTCTTACTGTTTATCAATGAGTGTGTATCGGTGGTGTATAGAAAAAAAATAGCAAGTCAATCTGTTCCTTATTTGGGGAATTTTCCCCGAGTAACTCATTCATAGCTATTAATGGTTTAAAATATACGTAATTACTTTATAAATATTTACTTTACGCGTTAATTTTTTCGAATATTCTATTTTTGTTAAGAGAGAAGAAGGTTGACTCTTTTTTATATTAAAAGTCACATATTACTCTTTCTATTTTATATTATTTTAATGAGTAAATGAGGAGACAATTTAAAAACTTTTTTTTTTTTAATTTTATTTAAATAAAATTATTTTGTACTAATGAAACTAAGTTCAGTATTTTTATTCGTTTGTAAATCGTATAGGGATGGACCTGGTTGAGTAATTCTTCCACTTCCCAAGCATTCTTCGTCTAGATATAATACAGCATACTGGAAGAAAAATACAAAATATTTTGTAAAATTCCTTATACAACAGTTAAAAAATAATTACTATTTTAATGAGTGTTTAAAGTATTTTTAAACAGTTGAAACTAGGGAAGTTAATAGACTGATTTTTAGCTATTAATCAAATATTACAAGAGAAAAGAAATTTAATTCTAGAAAAAACATACAACACCCACATGAATTACAAACATATTTTTGATTTGTTTAAACATATAAAGCTTAATTACATATTTAAACTTTCCATTGTTCAATAAATATATGTGATTTAGTGATGATTATGTAAGTTGTCAAATATTTTTGAAAATATTTATAATTTGTCAGAACTTGTAACAAAGATTGTGGAATGTTAAATATGTAAAAAGATTAAAAAAAAAGGTTAACATTATCGGAATATTTTTTTTTATCTAAAAATATTTTAAAATAAAAACCACAATGAAATCCATTATTGATTAACTAGCTTGAAAACACCAGTGTTCTTTAAACTTCACTCGCTGTTAATGGTGTGTCGATTAATTTGATACCTACAATATATAGAAGAATCAAACTGTCCGTCTCCATTTTCATAATAAATAAAACTTTTAATTTACTTACTTTTATGGAACCTATCAGAAATTTAAATATTTGGTTTAATGTATAATGATTAACAGGCCATCTTTGGATATGGACAGTTGAAAGTGGATTACCTGTATCAGTAAGGAAGATGAGATAGAGTAAATGAACAGAGGATCCCATCTTCATTCTTTACAAACAGTAGCATTCCACTTTCAACTGTCTATACCTGAGGATGGTCCATAACATCCTCTTAATACCCATAGGACAGAAAGAGTAAAAAATAAGAGGATGGACCATTAACTGGTTTGAAACCACAAGCATTCTTTAAACTTCACACACTGTTAAAGGTGCAATGGTTAGTTCATCCTTATTACAGTAAATAATTACATTGAAAGTTATGTTAGGAGAGAAAAAGTCTGGTGTATTCCCATGATTCAAAACTTAGATTTAGTACAGAATACTTTATTTAGCATTTATATATTGATATCAAGCTAATGTACATTTTCTATTGTTCAGTTTGATTGGAGAATTTTAATGTTTTTTACGTATACTGTAATAAAGTTTATGAGTATTATATTTTTCATCTTAACCACTCAGCCACTGATGAACACCACCTTGTTCTGCAATGAGAGTGGATGAAGTCATTTTCATCAGAACATGCATCAACCATAACCATACCCTTAAGCTATGAAGGGTTGATATTATAAAGGACAAACAAAATTTATAACAATATTATTATGACGTGAACAGCACAATCTCATTTCATTTATTCTTCTTCCATTATAACTTCCATTATTTTATATTCATTTATTGCCATAATATATGTGACGTTTAAAAATCAAATGCTTTGATGTGTCAATTACAATGAGTGTTTACTTTTAGTCTGTATAATAGTTGTCTGTATAGTTGTTTCTTGATGTTTTTATTTATAAGTTTTTCGGTTTTTGTCACCTTATGGGCACTAAGGACCTATTTTATATATCCATTGTAGATTCAGTCATGCTTGCAAGAGGGTAACAAGGAAGTGAGGGCTGAGACATAATGTATCTGGAACAAACTGACCACAAAAAATTTCCAGAGTTGCTTGCCTAGATTCCATCTCAGGATGGATTTCAAATGATTCAATTGCATTTTTAATTAATTTCAAATGAACAAAATAATACAAATAGAGAAGAGTAAAAATATAAAAGTATGCTGATTTAAGAACTTAAATCCTCATTCAAATGCCTAAAATATTGACTTGTTCCTGTATTTTGACACACATTTCAGTAATAGTAGTTTATCAACTAGTTTAATTATTTTCACACACCTTAAAAAAGATTTTTAAATCTGTTTTTTCTTTGTTCAACTATACAATTTCTAAAATTAACAAAACAGATGAACAAAATTAATGTAGCTTTTCCTGATTCAGACAGAATGTGTTTAAAAAATATTCTTTTATCCAAAGTTTTCTAATTATAATTTCTGAAGACAAAGTGTAAATTGATTTGAGAATATTAAAATAAATATATTAAGGAAATTTCTTCAAAGAAGTGGTGTTTTTTTTTGTTTGTTTAGTTTCATAATTAAAACAAGCTATTATTTTATGCCTAACTTATCTCACTTTAAAGCTTTATCACTTGCTTTACTACATAATTTTCAAGTTAATGGTTGTCAATCATTGTAAAAATCAGATCAAGATTATTGAAGTGATAAATATGAGTTTTAGCTTCATTTGTTTAATATAAAGAATATACTCACTTCTAAATTTATATTTTTCTATAGTTATTAGACCTAAAAAGTAGTTTTACAAAGGTGATCTTCATATTATAAATTACCAGTGAAGTAAATTTAATGTTTTACATTCAAATTTAACTTGTTTTTGACATATAATTTCCATATATAATTGGTAAATACTGAATACTTATATTACGTTAGGAAAATTTACAACAGTGATGCGTATTATTATACTAAAAAATAAAAATTATCTTTCAACAATATGTGATTTGAAATAGAATATTTTATCAATATGTAAGAAACAGGAACAAAGATATTTCTTTTCACTGTTTATAATGATCTAAGAACTGTTATAGTTGTTTTTTGCTACATATAATGTTTTATTAATACTATGTTAATACTTCTAGGAAAAAAATTATGTTAACATTAGAAAAAATCCAGCAACAAGTTGCTTATCTTTCCTGGCAACATTTGGTGGTAAGATCTGTTAGAATATTTTATTAAAAAAAAATTTTTATATTTTTAATTATTATAAAATGGCAAAAAACTTAATTTTCAGGGTAGGGATGAGTTTTATAAAAATTTGTAAATACTAATAATAATTAAAATAGTCTTTAAGTCAAACCCTACTTGAGATATGACACGACCAACCTTTATCTCCCCACCCTGTCGACATTTAACCACCAAAATTTTATAGAATCAATCCCCCTAAAACACAAACCTCCCTGCAAAATTCCAGAAAATTTTGGCAAAAAGTACAGGAATTATTATGCTTCAAACAGAGTGAACAAAATCATGCCCACATCCATACACAAAAAAATCCTCCAAATTTTGCATTTCTCAAGGTCCCTGGTGTAAAAATCTTGGAGGGGTCATTTTTTGACTGATCGCCATACTCTCCCTCTGTTATGTATAATGGCTGGAAAAGTAAAACTTGGTATGATTTGATTTGGACCAAATTCTGAATATCAATTAATTAAAATAATCAGTTCTTTTGATTGTAAGCATACAACAATTTTCATCTCATGAAATTTTTTCTAATTCTCCACATTTTGTAATTATTATTCAGAATTATCTTACAAATATTTTAATAATTAGAATATTCACTCTACTTATTTTCAAATTAATTTGGCATTAGAGCCTGGTTAAAAATCTTAGAAGTTTTGGTTAATCTTTGGCTATATTATCCAAGTTTTTGATTGGCTTTTTATAGATATTTTTGTACATAAATTAATTATATATTATACAGTGGGTGATTGGTTAACGAACAGTTCAGATAGTGAACAAATCGAATAATGAACACTTTCAGGAAAGATTTTTATGATTGGAAAACGAACACTTTACTGAACAAACATAAAAAGAAGCGACGAAAAATAATAAATACCGATTGATTTTTCCTTGTCTTCAGGTAACAATTTGAAACCTTTCGGAGTGCAGGAGATGTCAACATTGATGCTCAACCAAATACCAATCAGATATATTCCTCCAAATTTTGAAACTCTTTCTTGTAATTCCAGCTTTTTGTTTATCTTTCTGACAAATAATTTTTTATAGTCTTCATGATACTGTTGGACGAGCACTTGTTAAGTTTTACTTCGGGGTTTATTTACAAAAAGTGAAAGTTTAACTGTCCCATTGGATATTTGTTAACATTTTAATACCAAATTTCGAATTTCATCTGGGCCTTGCATTTAAATAATTTTTTGTGGGCTAGTTGATTTCTGTTCTCTGAATTTTTGTAAGTGCTTTTCTGAACTTTTTATTTAAAAAATAAACTGATAATATTATGGAGCCTAAAAAGAGGAGTGTCAAGAACAGTAGAAACCAAGTAAGAGATAAGAGCCAAGGTAGAAAGTGGGAACAAAATGTCTGATGTTGCTAGGCAGCATGGCTTAAACAGGTCTACAGTAGGAACAATCTTAACTATGAAAGATATATCAAGAAGTCTCAAGCTGCTAATGGAGTAATGTCTGAGAAATAAAGAGCATTTTAGAGCTGATAAAGGAACCTGAAACTGATCTGATGACAGAACTCCAAGAACTCTCAAATGAACAACACCAAGGAATTTGGCGAGATGTGTTTTCTTTTGAAAAAGAGGAAGACGAAAGAGGGCCAATGTCGACATTGCTACTAAAGATCTTTTGAAGAAGTGGGAGGATGTCAGAACAACAATCATCCAAGTGGCATCCAAACTGGAATAAGGTTAATGTGGTTGGGGATCTCTACAATTACAATACTATTAATTACTTCCGAAAAATCCTGAAGAAAAGAGAAAAGCAATTGACATTGGACAAATTCTTTAATCCCCACAAACAGAAAAAAACGACTAATAAAAATGCAAGAATGCATATATATGTATTTTTACTACTACATATAAATAAACATAGTAAAAAAGTATATAGTTTTTATTTTTTAGAGTCTCTGGAAGAAATTAATCAAATTCCCATAAATACTACGGTAAATCGATAATCAATTAATGAACAATTTGGATAACGAACAAAGTCTTGGAATGGATTATGTTCGTTAACCGATCACTTACTGTATTTTGAATTATCTAACAAAAGTTTGGAAATATTACATTCTAAACCTAAATTTACATTTGTCATAATGTCATCATTTTTGCTATAAAAATGATGTAAATTGTTATAATTTATTAAAGTCTATCAATATGTTTCATGATAAACTATCATTAGAGAATAAACTGTACAATATTTTAAATATCATATACAAAGAGTAATAGGTACAAGAAAGTAACAAAACTAGTCAAAAATATGATATACAGTATAAAAGAAATCTCTCTTCTACTTCAACAAATTGCCCAAATTGAAGAGAGGGATTTCTTTTATACAATGGGTTATTTTTTATTTTATATTATATTTTTCTGTTTAATTTGTGTTGAATGGTAACTTTGCTTTATGTTGTGCACCTGGTAATGATTACCCATAAATACATATATTTTAATATATGCTAGAATGAACAGATTCTATAACAAATGAGATTCTTGAACCAAATACATTTGTTCTAGTATACCCACCGTATTTTGTTATCTTATAAACACATTTTAAGTTGTTCTATGATGAATCTTTTCTAGTTATTTAAAACTTTATTCTATGAAATGATGCCACTTACTATTTTTAAATTAATATTTTTGAAATTTTTTGTCTTAAAGTAAAACCATTTTGAAATATTTTATGTTTTCATCTTATTATAATATCTCACCAGTTGTACAAACATCTAATGTAACCAAATATTTGGTATTTTAGATATACCTGTCCAGGTGTAAGAGCTCTCTGGGGATTTTCAAATTTAATGAATAATTTATCATCTTCAATTACATCCACTTGACATTTCTCAAGAGGATATCTGTATCCTTGTTGAGTTCTTATTTTACATTTTAATTTCTTAGTTCTTAGTAAATCTTCTGGTACTCTGTTAATCCAATATGGATTCTCAACAATAATAGTATCACAATATAAGCTAGGATGATCACCACCAGGTGCCTGTAATAAAAATATAATATATAAATAATTAAAATTATGTTCTAATGAAAAATATTCTGCTTTAATCTAAAAATTAGGTTTATAAATGTTTGTATTTGAAGCTTTATAGTAAAAATAGTAATTAATTAAAAATAAATTGTTTCATATTTTACTTGCCACTAAAATATCTTGTGATAATGGATTCTTTTCTGCAACAAAATATGCAACTTTACAACCAGGCAACAAACATCTTTGGCCTAATGTCCATTGATGAATACCTAAATTGTTGCATATATAAATATTAGAGGTTTGTAAAAGTGTTTTAAAGTAAGTTAGTCATTAAGTAAAAATTGCAATAACTAACCTGTATGCTGTCCAACAATGGAACCTGTTTCAATATCAATAAAGTTTCCAACTGATGGTTCTATGTAATCATTAATAAATTTCTGGAAATTTCTTTTTCCAATGAAACAGATGCCGGTGCTCTAAAAATACTGAATAATTATCATCAATGTCATAATTAGAAACAACAAATTATATTGCATATCAAAAACTAGATATAATTTTTAAAATAATTCATCCTTACATAAAGAAAAATTAAATTAAGTAAGATTTAATTATCTATATAAATAAAAATGTATATGTTCATTTGCTCAAAATCTTAAATCTCTGAAACTTCTACACTGATTGCTTTGAAATTTTGAAACAATGTTGCATTTGAATACATGCATGTTTTTATATTATATAGATGTCGAATTCCCCCCGTGGGTTAGAGGGACAGGATTAAGGCTTACCGTAAAGAACTCTGCTTCTATTATACTATTTTAGATGTGGTTTTTTGCATTTTTGATTGCATTTTAATAGGGTATGTCAAGAGAATGTACACTAAGAAGGAATTTTTCAAAATTCTCCCTTGTGGGGAGTGTTATACATTTATAATAGATTTTGAGCCACAGCAACGTGTGGCTGGGTACAGCTAGTAGACTATAAAAAGATTGTTTTAGTAAAGATTTATAAAATTGTTATTTATTTATATATTGCATTGAGATTTTGTTATGAGATATTGTAATAAGATTTTATAATTCAAGTTATTTAATTAATAAGAAAATGAATGTTGTAAATTGTTATTTCAATTTCAGAAACAGTGATTAATTTTTAAACTATGACTAAAATAAATTTTGACAGAATGAATTAGCACATGTTGATCTTACGGATATACAAGACTTGCCTGAATTTTGTCCATTATGGTGGATATAATCCATAATGGAATCAGTATGGGTGAAGGATGAGGCATGAGGAAAACCTGTAAAAATTTTGAGGATCTTTACAGGTCTATGAACCTGATTCTTAAAATTTATGTGAAATAATATATTGCTGAATATTCATCTAATTAAAAAGTTTTTAGAATATGCCACAAAATAATTTAAAAGTTTTTGGTTAAATTTCCAAGATAAAATTATAATTCTGAAAATATTAAATGTTAATTTCATAGAAGGTCAATCACAAATATACTAATATTCAAAATATAGAGTTATTCAACATTGGTAATTGTTGATATACAGTGGTACCTCAGTATACGTCTGCTTTAGAATATGTCCAATTTGGAATACGTCCTGTTTGGACGAAACAAATTTTGTTCGGTATACGACTTAATTCAATTATACTCGCCATCTACGAACAAGTAGCACTATCAGTGTATTAGACCAGACTACACGTTCTCTGTGCCACAGTTTATAACTTTGTTAAATTTCTTTTTATTTTAATTTGTAAATAAAATATTATTTTTATTAATCATGAATTGCAAAAAGGCAACAGAAAAATAAAAAAATGACTAGAATCACAATGGAACTGAAAAAAGAGATTGTTGAGGAATATGAAGGTGGCATGCATGTTCGAGATTTAACTGTTGCATACCATATTCTGAGAATGATAATATCGACAATCATGAAAAGTAAAGACATTATTAAATCTGCTAACGTTGCGAAAGGGGTTAAATCAATTTCTAAACAGAGATCGAAGACATTAAATCATGTTGAGAAATTGCTTTTGCTTTGGATAACTGAAAAACAGTGTACTGGCAACATCATATCAGAAGCAATTATTTGTGAGAAAGCTAAAAAGATACATGCTGATCTCATAAAAAATCAAGCAGGAACTAGACAGGAAAGTGAGGTGTTTAAAGCCACCCATTTTTTTTTTTTACATGAGAACGAATTAATCATTTTTACACTACTTCTTTTGGGAAAGGTTGGTTTGGTATACGTCCTATTCGGTATAAGTCCAAACACCAGGAACGGATTAAGATCCTATACCGAGGTTCCACTGTATATTTAAAAAATTATTACTGTTTAATAGTGATATTTAATCTTATTAAGAACATTGCTAATATATTAATTAGTATTAATAGTTTCTCTTGTTATGATTATCTTCATCCTCAATTATTAATCACAAACAATAGAAACAAGTATTGATGTTCTTAGTAATTTATCATTTAAGGTTCAGAATTTATCCACTACTCTTTAATCAGAATGATGTTTGTTTTCTTTCATTTCTTTTCTTTTTTTATATAAATAGTCTACATAGTGTATATAACAAAATTATGAACTTACTACTCCTTGGTTATAGTGTTATCCATTATACTGCAGATTGATTTTTTTCCTGGAAATTTTAACATTAAGAAAAACATGCATTTTAACATATTGCACTTGCTACTTGTATATCACTAAATACATGTTAGAATCTGTTAGTTGTATATACATGACCAACTATTTTTCCCATTGCTCTTTTTAATTTTGTAACTAATTACTCTATCTGTCATACACAATAGTATATTACATAAAAAGTTGGCAATAACTGTCAATATTAACAGCTTTGCCAACTTAAATAGTATGGTACATTGCATATAACATACAAGAACTGTCATGTAAAACCTGTGCTCTGGCAAATTCACTGATATCAAATTTTTCTTGTCGTCACTTTGACCCCACTGTATCTCAAAAACAGTTTAATAAAAACAAAGTCAAGGACCCTAGTTTTTATTACATATTTGGATTCCTCATCACAATCTATGGAAAATGGCAAAATCAAGCCATCAAATTTTGAGATTTAATGCAATTTTGTAAGCATACAGAAGCTTTGCTAACACTCTACCTCAAATATTATAAATGAAACAATGTTTATGATGGTAATAGTACAAATATTAAATGGAGTAATTAGTCAATTACAGAATTAATAATTTTGAGAAGAATTAAAATATCTTATAACTCAAAACAGCATCCTCATACAAACTTTGCAATATAATTGAAGATCAGTTTATTAACATGTTCACGCTGTTACAAGGCACATGTGAATTGCATGGACATGTCTAATTAGGGCGACAGACATAATTGCTTGTTTTTCCGTAGGGCGGCGCATATGTTTTGATAACATAATTCTACAAACATCATACTTGATATAGCAATATTATTTTATTACGTGCAATAAAATATATTAATTTAATAGTACGAAGCATGGATGACTCGTGCCGCCCTGTATTAAAATAGACTATGAGTCACCCGTGACTCGTAATGCCCAGCAGCTGCCTAAACATTTATCTACTGATGCCGTGAACGTGTGAAATATAGATGGGAAGAGGGCCAAGTCAATTAATGCATCAGACTACTGTTCTGTGAGATGCAGGACTAGGTCCAGGCAAGCAAACAGTCTTTTCATTGGCAGTGTGTTTCAGATATGTCTAGCTCCATCCCTCACCACCTTGTTATTCCCATTGTGTGGGTCTGGCCAAACCCATGATCAGCATGGAAAAAGGCTATCTTAGTGCCCACAGTGCAGAAAGAGTTAAAAATGGAAAACAAAATGTAATATGATTATCATCACCTTTTTCTTTTTTAGTATCTTCGTTAGTGAAATTTCAGAAGCAATTTTTTGAACATCTTTCCTCATTAATCCACCAACTGGAAAGAGAGACTTCTGAAGTGCTTCTTGAGGTATCTGTGATAAAAATAATGTTTGATCTCGAAAGTCATCGACCGCCCGTAATAATCTTGCACCTAAAAATATATTATATTTGGTGTCAATAAACAATAAAATATATTTGAAGATTTGTAAAAATTATTTATAATTTATTTTTGTATCATATTAAATATATAGTAATATGGAATGAAAATAGTAAGTTCTAAATTTATATACATTTTATAAATACCTTTATGAGGATCATAATTTTCAAGATCTTCTCCAAAACTAGTCTGTGCATAATGACCTGTTGCAATAGCATCCACTTTAAGTTGATTAATCATATACTTCCAAAAAATACCAAATTTAATTCTTTTATTGCATAAAACATCTGGATTTGGTGTTATGCCTTTTTTATACTCATCAATCATTTCACTAAATTCAAAAATATAGAAATTTAAATTATTTTAAATANTGAGTTTTATAAAAATTTGTAAATACTAATAATAATTAAAATAGTCTTTAAGTCAAACCCTACTTGAGATATGACACGACCAACCTTTATCTCCCCACCCTGTCGACATTTAACCACCAAAATTTTATAGAATCAATCCCCCTAAAACACAAACCTCCCTGCAAAATTCCAGAAAATTTTGGCAAAAAGTACAGGAATTATTATGCTTCAAACAGAGTGAACAAAATCATGCCCACATCCATACACAAAAAAATCCTCCAAATTTTGCATTTCTCAAGGTCCCTGGTGTAAAAATCTTGGAGGGGTCATTTTTTGACTGATCGCCATACTCTCCCTCTGTTATGTATAATGGCTGGAAAAGTAAAACTTGGTATGATTTGATTTGGACCAAATTCTGAATATCAATTAATTAAAATAATCAGTTCTTTTGATTGTAAGCATACAACAATTTTCATCTCATGAAATTTTTTCTAATTCTCCACATTTTGTAATTATTATTCAGAATTATCTTACAAATATTTTAATAATTAGAATATTCACTCTACTTATTTTCAAATTAATTTGGCATTAGAGCCTGGTTAAAAATCTTAGAAGTTTTGGTTAATCTTTGGCTATATTATCCAAGTTTTTGATTGGCTTTTTATAGATATTTTTGTACATAAATTAATTATATATTATACAGTGGGTGATTGGTTAACGAACAGTTCAGATAGTGAACAAATCGAATAATGAACACTTTCAGGAAAGATTTTTATGATTGGAAAACGAACACTTTACTGAACAAACATAAAAAGAAGCGACGAAAAATAATAAATACCGATTGATTTTTCCTTGTCTTCAGGTAACAATTTGAAACCTTTCGGAGTGCAGGAGATGTCAACATTGATGCTCAACCAAATACCAATCAGATATATTCCTCCAAATTTTGAAACTCTTTCTTGTAATTCCAGCTTTTTGTTTATCTTTCTGACAAATAATTTTTTATAGTCTTCATGATACTGTTGGACGAGCACTTGTTAAGTTTTACTTCGGGGTTTATTTACAAAAAGTGAAAGTTTAACTGTCCCATTGGATATTTGTTAACATTTTAATACCAAATTTCGAATTTCATCTGGGCCTTGCATTTAAATAATTTTTTGTGGGCTAGTTGATTTCTGTTCTCTGAATTTTTGTAAGTGCTTTTCTGAACTTTTTATTTAAAAAATAAACTGATAATATTATGGAGCCTAAAAAGAGGAGTGTCAAGAACAGTAGAAACCAAGTAAGAGATAAGAGCCAAGGTAGAAAGTGGGAACAAAATGTCTGATGTTGCTAGGCAGCATGGCTTAAACAGGTCTACAGTAGGAACAATCTTAACTATGAAAGATATATCAAGAAGTCTCAAGCTGCTAATGGAGTAATGTCTGAGAAATAAAGAGCATTTTAGAGCTGATAAAGGAACCTGAAACTGATCTGATGACAGAACTCCAAGAACTCTCAAATGAACAACACCAAGGAATTTGGCGAGATGTGTTTTCTTTTGAAAAAGAGGAAGACGAAAGAGGGCCAATGTCGACATTGCTACTAAAGATCTTTTGAAGAAGTGGGAGGATGTCAGAACAACAATCATCCAAGTGGCATCCAAACTGGAATAAGGTTAATGTGGTTGGGGATCTCTACAATTACAATACTATTAATTACTTCCGAAAAATCCTGAAGAAAAGAGAAAAGCAATTGACATTGGACAAATTCTTTAATCCCCACAAACAGAAAAAAACGACTAATAAAAATGCAAGAATGCATATATATGTATTTTTACTACTACATATAAATAAACATAGTAAAAAAGTATATAGTTTTTATTTTTTAGAGTCTCTGGAACAAATTAATCAAATTCCCATAAATACTACGGTAAATCGATAATCAATTAATGAACAATTTGGATAACGAACAAAGTCTTGGAATGGATTATGTTCGTTAACCGATCACTTACTGTATTTTGAATTATCTAACAAAAGTTTGGAAATATTACATTCTAAACCTAAATTTACATTTGTCATAATGTCATCATTTTTGCTATAAAAATGATGTAAATTGTTATAATTTATTAAAGTCTATCAATATGTTTCATGATAAACTATCATTAGAGAATAAACTGTACAATATTTTAAATATCATATACAAAGAGTAATAGGTACAAGAAAGTAACAAAACTAGTCAAAAATATGATATACAGTATAAAAGAAATCTCTCTTCTACTTCAACAAATTGCCCAAATTGAAGAGAGGGATTTCTTTTATACAATGGGTTATTTTTTATTTTATATTATATTTTTCTGTTTAATTTGTGTTGAATGGTAACTTTGCTTTATGTTGTGCACCTGGTAATGATTACCCATAAATACATATATTTTAATATATGCTAGAATGAACAGATTCTATAACAAATGAGATTCTTGAACCAAATACATTTGTTCTAGTATACCCACCGTATTTTGTTATCTTATAAACACATTTTAAGTTGTTCTATGATGAATCTTTTCTAGTTATTTAAAACTTTATTCTATGAAATGATGCCACTTACTATTTTTAAATTAATATTTTTGAAATTTTTTGTCTTAAAGTAAAACCATTTTGAAATATTTTATGTTTTCATCTTATTATAATATCTCACCAGTTGTACAAACATCTAATGTAACCAAATATTTGGTATTTTAGATATACCTGTCCAGGTGTAAGAGCTCTCTGGGGATTTTCAAATTTAATGAATAATTTATCATCTTCAATTACATCCACTTGACATTTCTCAAGAGGATATCTGTATCCTTGTTGAGTTCTTATTTTACATTTTAATTTCTTAGTTCTTAGTAAATCTTCTGGTACTCTGTTAATCCAATATGGATTCTCAACAATAATAGTATCACAATATAAGCTAGGATGATCACCACCAGGTGCCTGTAATAAAAATATAATATATAAATAATTAAAATTATGTTCTAATGAAAAATATTCTGCTTTAATCTAAAAATTAGGTTTATAAATGTTTGTATTTGAAGCTTTATAGTAAAAATAGTAATTAATTAAAAATAAATTGTTTCATATTTTACTTGCCACTAAAATATCTTGTGATAATGGATTCTTTTCTGCAACAAAATATGCAACTTTACAACCAGGCAACAAACATCTTTGGCCTAATGTCCATTGATGAATACCTAAATTGTTGCATATATAAATATTAGAGGTTTGTAAAAGTGTTTTAAAGTAAGTTAGTCATTAAGTAAAAATTGCAATAACTAACCTGTATGCTGTCCAACAATGGAACCTGTTTCAATATCAATAAAGTTTCCAACTGATGGTTCTATGTAATCATTAATAAATTTCTGGAAATTTCTTTTTCCAATGAAACAGATGCCGGTGCTCTAAAAATACTGAATAATTATCATCAATGTCATAATTAGAAACAACAAATTATATTGCATATCAAAAACTAGATATAATTTTTAAAATAATTCATCCTTACATAAAGAAAAATTAAATTAAGTAAGATTTAATTATCTATATAAATAAAAATGTATATGTTCATTTGCTCAAAATCTTAAATCTCTGAAACTTCTACACTGATTGCTTTGAAATTTTGAAACAATGTTGCATTTGAATACATGCATGTTTTTATATTATATAGATGTCGAATTCCCCCCGTGGGTTAGAGGGACAGGATTAAGGCTTACCGTAAAGAACTCTGCTTCTATTATACTATTTTAGATGTGGTTTTTTGCATTTTTGATTGCATTTTAATAGGGTATGTCAAGAGAATGTACACTAAGAAGGAATTTTTCAAAATTCTCCCTTGTGGGGAGTGTTATACATTTATAATAGATTTTGAGCCACAGCAACGTGTGGCTGGGTACAGCTAGTAGACTATAAAAAGATTGTTTTAGTAAAGATTTATAAAATTGTTATTTATTTATATATTGCATTGAGATTTTGTTATGAGATATTGTAATAAGATTTTATAATTCAAGTTATTTAATTAATAAGAAAATGAATGTTGTAAATTGTTATTTCAATTTCAGAAACAGTGATTAATTTTTAAACTATGACTAAAATAAATTTTGACAGAATGAATTAGCACATGTTGATCTTACGGATATACAAGACTTGCCTGAATTTTGTCCATTATGGTGGATATAATCCATAATGGAATCAGTATGGGTGAAGGATGAGGCATGAGGAAAACCTGTAAAAATTTTGAGGATCTTTACAGGTCTATGAACCTGATTCTTAAAATTTATGTGAAATAATATATTGCTGAATATTCATCTAATTAAAAAGTTTTTAGAATATGCCACAAAATAATTTAAAAGTTTTTGGTTAAATTTCCAAGATAAAATTATAATTCTGAAAATATTAAATGTTAATTTCATAGAAGGTCAATCACAAATATACTAATATTCAAAATATAGAGTTATTCAACATTGGTAATTGTTGATATACAGTGGTACCTCAGTATACGTCTGCTTTAGAATATGTCCAATTTGGAATACGTCCTGTTTGGACGAAACAAATTTTGTTCGGTATACGACTTAATTCAATTATACTCGCCATCTACGAACAAGTAGCACTATCAGTGTATTAGACCAGACTACACGTTCTCTGTGCCACAGTTTATAACTTTGTTAAATTTCTTTTTATTTTAATTTGTAAATAAAATATTATTTTTATTAATCATGAATTGCAAAAAGGCAACAGAAAAATAAAAAAATGACTAGAATCACAATGGAACTGAAAAAAGAGATTGTTGAGGAATATGAAGGTGGCATGCATGTTCGAGATTTAACTGTTGCATACCATATTCTGAGAACGATAATATCGACAATCATGAAAAGTAAAGACATTATTAAATCTGCTAACGTTGCGAAAGGGGTTAAATCAATTTCTAAACAGAGATCGAAGACATTAAATCATGTTGAGAAATTGCTTTTGCTTTGGATAACTGAAAAACAGTGTACTGGCAACATCATATCAGAAGCAATTATTTGTGAGAAAGCTAAAAAGATACATGCTGATCTCATAAAAAATCAAGCAGGAACTAGACAGGAAAGTGAGGTGTTTAAAGCCACCCATTTTTTTTTTTACATGAGAACGAATTAATCATTTTTACACTACTTCTTTTGGGAAAGGTTGGTTTGGTATACGTCCTATTCGGTATAAGTCCAAACACCAGGAACGGATTAAGATCGTATACCGAGGTTCCACTGTATATTTAAAAAATTATTACTGTTTAATAGTGATATTTAATCTTATTAAGAACATTGCTAATATATTAATTAGTATTAATAGTTTCTCTTGTTATGATTATCTTCATCCTCAATTATTAATCACAAACAATAGAAACAAGTATTGATGTTCTTAGTAGTTTATCATTTAAGGTTCAGAATTTATCCACTACTCTTTAATCAGAATGATGTTTGTTTTCTTTCATTTCTTTTCTTTTTTTATATAAATAGTCTACATAGTGTATATAACAAAATTATGAACTTACTACTCCTTGGTTATAGTGTTATCCATTATACTGCAGATTGATTTTTTTCCTGGAAATTTTAACATTAAGAAAAACATGCATTTTAACATATTGCACTTGCTACTTGTATATCACTAAATACATGTTAGAATCTGTTAGTTGTATATACATGACCAACTATTTTTCCCATTGCTCTTTTTAATTTTGTAACTAATTACTCTATCTGTCATACACAATAGTATATTACATAAAAAGTTGGCAATAACTGTCAATATTAACAGCTTTGCCAACTTAAATAGTATGGTACATTGCATATAACATACAAGAACTGTCATGTAAAACCTGTGCTCTGGCAAATTCACTGATATCAAATTTTTCTTGTCGTCACTTTGACCCCACTGTATCTCAAAAACAGTGTAATAAAAACAAAGTCAAGGACCCTAGTTTTTATTACATATTTGGATTCCTCATCACAATCTATGGAAAATGGCAAAATCAAGCCATCAAATTTTGAGATTGAATGCAATTTTGTAAGCATACAGAAGCTTTGCTAACACTCTACCTCAAATATTATAAATGAAACAATGTTTATGATGGTAATAGTACAAATATTAAATGGAGTAATTAGTCAATTACAGAATTAATAATTTTGAGAAGAATTAAAATATCTTATAACTCAAAACAGCATCCTCATACAAACTTTGCAATATAATTGAAGATCAGTTTATTAACATGTTCACGCTGTTACAAGGCACATGTGACTTGCATGGACATGTCTAATTAGGGCAACAGACATAATTGCTTGTTTTTCCGTAGGGCGGCGCATATGTTTTGATAACATAATTCTACAAACATCATACTTGATATATCAATATTATTTTATTACATGCAATAAAATATATTAATTTAATAGTATGAAGCATGGATGACTCGTGCCGCCCTGTATTAAAATAGACTATGAGTCACCCGTGACTCGTAATGCCCAGCAGCTGCCTAAACATTTATCTACTGATGCCGTGAACGTGTGAAATATAGATGGGAAGAGGGCCAAGTCAATTAATGCATCAGACTACTGTTCTGTGAGATGCAGGACTAGGTCCAGGCAAGCAAACAGTCTTTTCATTGGCAGTGTGTTTCAGATATGTCTAGCTCCATCCCTCACCACCTTGTTATTCCCATTGTGTGGGTCTGGCCAAACCCATGATCAGCATGGAAAAAGGCTATCTTAGTGCCCACAGTGCAGAAAGAGTTAAAAATGGAAAACAAAATGTAATATGATTATCATCACCTTTTTCTTTTTTAGTATCTTCGTTAGTGAAATTTCAGAAGCAATTTTTTGAACATCTTTCCTCATTAATCCACCAACTGGAAAGAGAGACTTCTGAAGTGCTTCTTGAGGTATCTGTGATAAAAATAATGTTTGATCTCGAAAGTCATCGACCGCCCGTAATAATCTTGCACCTAAAAATATATTATATTTGGTGTCAATAAACAATAAAATATATTTGAAGATTTGTAAAAATTATTTATAATTTATTTTTGTATCATATTAAATATATAGTAATATGGAATGAAAATAGTAAGTTCTAAATTTATATACATTTTATAAATACCTTTATGAGGATCATAATTTTCAAGATCTTCTCCAAAACTAGTCTGTGCATAATGACCTGTTGCAATAGCATCCACTTTAAGTTGATTAATCATATACTTCCAAAAAATACCAAATTTAATTCTTTTATTGCATAAAACATCTGGATTTGGTGTTATGCCTTTTTTATACTCATCAATCATTTCACTAAATTCAAAAATATAGAAATTTAAATTATTTTAAGTAGAATATTAAGTATTGTAATTTTTGTATTACTATACAATTAAACTTTTAGGGCTTATCACACTGACTGAGTTGACAGGATGAGTTTATTAATTAATCATATAAACTCATTTACATAAATACATTAACTTTTATGCACACAATTACCAATCTAAAATGCATTTCGGGCTTTCAAATGCAAGAAAGGAGCCATAAGAAAGCGCGAAATGCATTTTAGATTGGTAATTGTGTGCATAAAAGTTAATGTATTTATGTAAATGAGTTTATATGATTAATTAATAAACTCCTCTTGTCAACTTAGTGTGATAAGCCCTAAAAGTTTAATTGTGTAG